CTTCTTCTTCCGAACTGCTTCCTGGAACTCGGATATTCTCCTGTATTGGTAAAAGTGGGATAGCCGACAACCCTGCCAGCACCAGTCCCGTGTTGCCCCGTTAAAAATCCGGGGCTGGGAGGGCTGGACTGGGTATCAGAATGTAAGCATATGTGTTAACGTATAAAGCAAATAAAAAGCGAAAAATAAACGGAATTTATTTAAATTCACTAAAGGGTAGCATTTAGGTGGAAAGAATAGATAATTAATATGCATGGCAATCAAAGTAATAGTAAGTTAATGTTAGTGATTTGAACAATAGACAATGCCTAAAGATTTATTCATAGTAAATGTAGAGCAATAACTAAAGAAAAAAGAAGCATAACAGAAAATTAAAGAGATCATATGACGTAGTCAGAGGAAATATCCAACTCTATTAATTCGGACACTATGATACGAAAATGTTAATGCGTAGGGCTCCTAGTAACGTTTATAAAACGCCACCGTTAATGGAATATGCGGCAGGAGATACTAAGGAAACACCGTCGGCAGAAACTAGAGCTTTCCGTGTGGAGATATAATAAACCTGGTTAGTGTTGAACCTTAGGTCTATTTCTGTGTCGTGCCTTGAGACGATAATAAGCCGAATCAAGACAATGGACATTACACTGCTACAGAAGTATCATCCATTTTCACGATAACAAAAGAAAACAAGACGAAAATCTGCAACTGCGCGATTTCGTGTTTCTCAGATATCTATGCGGGGGTGTAATGTACATTGTTAGTGTCGAATCTTAGTTCCATCGCTGCGTCGCAGCTTGGGACGATAAGAATCCGAATCAGGACAAACGCTATTGCACAGAGTCAAGGTTAAAACCTGTGGCCAAATAAAATAACCTACTGATAGTAGATATTTAAGTAATTAGGCGGAACTTAATTGTTCCTTGACTAGATCGGTGAAACACCTACATTCATTCATATTTAAGTATATTTTAAAAGTTATACATCACTAACCTTACGTCCACTGGATCCCTGGCTTGCCCATTTAGCGAGTGGAGACTTGATCTGATCAGTCAAGGTGACTGTAACACGCTGACGGCTAGGTTTGACAATGATACCACCATTATAGATTGCAATAGATTTCAAGTCCTTAATACCTGTGTGCTCAAAAGTTCTTCTGGTAAGTGCGCCTTGGAGGCAAGAAAAGTTCACGTGGTTCTTTGCCAACATCCGCATGGTAAGGCTAAATTGCAGGTGCAAGAAGAGTTCTCCCGCCCTGCAATGCAATAAGTGGTTCTTCCCTCCGAAAGAACAGCTTGCATATCCACAGTTCTGAGTTGGTGGAAACCTCAAAAAGTGTTTAATTGCCACATGAGAATGAGAAGCAGATGCGAATATCTGGATCCTGTATCTCAATCTACTGAGATAGTTGTGTGTAAAATTAGACGCTGACGCCAACCTCAATTTCCTTTATTCTGTCAGTGGTATCGACGCAAACGCTTAGGGCGGCAAAGAAATCCGCGTGGGTCGACCGGAAATTTTTCCACGTCGAAATCTACATTTTAAAGGAGTAAAAATAGTGAACAGGTAACAAAACGTACTTCGGCTCCGAACTTGCACAACGTTTCCTCCGAAGAGGCAGGAGGGTTCAAGGAGCGAAGGAGACACAATAATCTCGACCAACATAGTAGGCAGACCATAGGTCTTAGAGCTCAGGCTGGCATTTGCTCATAAAATTTTGGATATTTTGTAGACGCAATGCACATAGACGGTCATATCATGCGAGAAAATGAGTAGGAAATTAAATGAATGTTTGGAACTACTAAGGAAAAATAAAGTAGATTCGGCAATTAAAAAAATTAGACGCGTAACCCAGTCTCTTGACAGAGGTTACGGAGACTAGATGTGAAGCTAGGCCCAATCTCGACAATATGCAAGACATGCGAATGAAGAGACGAAATTCAACAGACCAGAAGT